ATAATAAAATTATATTTATGTAATTTTAATTTATTTTTAATTCAGCATTCAGAATACTGCCAGGCCTAATTCTTGCCTATTTCCATCTTTCAGACAAAGCCAGGACCAATCAAGGCAGACTGTTCTCACTCTGAGCGCTCTGCTTCAGCGTACTGCTACAACTGTTCCCGGAAAGGGCACTTTGGACATGTAAGTCTCAGCAGTCTCTGCCTCAGTGTAGAGCAGATCCTTGGGGCAGATGTTAGTCCCTGTCATGGTGTGTGGTTGGAGAAGAGAGCTGGAAGAGTCAAGCTAACACTGCACAAATGGCCGCTCTAATGAAATGTTTGTGACTTTGCAGCACTGCTGCAATCAGTGGAGGCCAATGTATAAAGTGATCTCACCCATCTTATTTAGAGATACGTAAGAAAGGAAAAGTTACTATCTCTCCTTGACAGGTTTATCAATTTGTGTTTTAGATCTTAAGTCAAAATGAGAGCGCCTGGGAGAGAATGTTCATTGGAAAACAGTTGCTGAACAGAGCTTTTTCTTTCTTGCTTGCTTTCTTGCTTTCTTGCTTGCTTTCTTGCTTGCTTTCTTTCTTGCTTTCTTGCTTGCTTTCTTGCTTTCTTTTTTTTCCTGTGGCTCATGGAATGAAATGTTAGTGCCTTACTGCCATGTTCAACGTCATGTAAGGTTTTTCACCGCATTCAGCCCAACAATTTGAATGCCCCTTTTAGGAATTTTCCATTTCTGCCTGCTTTTGGCTATCCTTATTTGTAGTTTCTTAGTTAAATTCAACAACTAAGTTAAGTTTGACATCATCCGTCTGTGAAGTACAGTACACAGCCTGGTGAAGTAGGACATCGTGACCCTTAATTGGCTTCACTAAAAACTGGAGGTGTGCTGCATCTTCTGTGGTTGCGTGCTGATGTTTATCGCCTTTTTCAGCCCCCCCCACCCCGTGACAAGTGCAGCTCTCTACCTGCAGATACCAACACCAAACACATATTAGTTCTTCTCTTTTGTGGAATATGGCCAGGAGCCACAAGTATTCTAGAAAATTAATGTTACTCATGCATTGGATGGGTTAAGTTTATAGTTTCCTCCAGCTTAGAGGTAGCAAATTCCCAGCAAATTACTTCCTTCTCTCCTGTGTGTCGGCTCCTACAGCTGCTGAAGATGTGTCATTGAAAGCTTGCTGCTGTTTTTGGCTAAATAATCCCTGTGGGACAAGTAGGGCAGGTTTGATGGGATCTTCTCATGGCAGAGCTGAAAGATAAACAGAAGATTTTCAGCGCCGACCTGTCTTTGGAGACAAGTGAAGGTTTTGCTCCTCGAGCAGTACATCAAGGCTGTCGCGTGCGTCCAGGACAGGCCCTGCCTGCATGGCTGGTGCAGTCCAGCCTCGGCGAGAGGCGAGCGTGTGCCAGCAGCCTGCTGTTACCCCTGGCACGGCAGCAGCATGGGCACTGCCTTGTCTGTGGGACAGGAGTCCGAATCCTTGGCTTCACCTGCCAGAGATCTGCTCAAGGCAGAGCTACACGTGTGGCAGCAGTGTGAGACCGCAGCGATACGACCATGTGAACTAGCGTGTGCTGCCTGCTGTCTGGGACTAGAGCTGATAAAAGCCTGTGAGAGCAGCCCTGAAACTGATCCTGTTAAACAGAACCAGAATAAAGTCCCTGCCAGTAATATAGACACTAAAATGGGCATATACAATAAAAACGGAGGTGATGGGATTGAAGAAAATGTGAGAGTGACTGCTGGCAATGGATAAGGAACGTGTTATTCAACTGTCAAAAAATGGCATTTGAGGAAGTCTGCCGTACACGGATACAAGAAAGGCTGCTGTGAAAATAATTTGTCAACGTGGGAGGAGCTGACAGTAATTACTTGGGTAGAAAATGGTAGAAACTGTGTAAAATCAGTAAGAAAGTAAAGTGACGCAAGGACAACCTTTTATGGCTATCAAAGTTAAAGAGGATAAGATAGTGTATTTACCTGTGTACAAGGAGCAGAAATAGCCTGAGCAATGACTGACTGAAAATGCAGAAGTCAGTAACATCACAGAAGGGCAAAGATACCGATCTTTCTGTACGCACACAGAAAAACCAGGAACACATCGGATTATGTAATGGTGACTGAGTATTTGCACTCAAATCACTAAACCTTCTGTCCGTGAATGGCTGAGGAAGCTGGACTGGTGGCCTGCAATGCATCTTCATAGCGACCCAGCTGGACAGGCCATGCACCTGAGATTTGCAGCTCTCACTGGCTAAGAAAACTGAGGTCACAATCAGTGCCTGAGTTCATGCAGTGAGCAGCTCTGTCAGAGCTTGAAAGATCTGCCTTTAAGTTAAGGGGGAAAAAAAGGGGGAGGGGGATTTGTGGGGCTTTTTAAAATGTAAACATTTTTAAGCAGGTAAAAATTACTTGTGATGACAAGTGTCTCTTAACATTTTTCTAATTTCTAGACCTCAAGAACCTGCTTATTAAAGCAGAGGAATAACAAACTGACCAAGAAGAAAAAGCTGGGGTCAGTTTTGTAGATACGCACCATAATCAGTGCTTCCCACTGCAGTTCTTTCCTTTCATGTTACCATTTAATCTAGTTTAGGAACACCTGAAATTCCTTTTCTTTGCTAGAGGTCTAGGGAGACCTTTCCCAAAAACAGAGGCAAGAGCAAAAAACTTGCTAAATCCCAGAGTTAACTGTGTGGTTCCAGTAGGAAGGTCATTGCAGATTGCTTGATGTTTGTAGAGATGAAGTAATTAAGACATAAAGTGTCAGATATTGCAACACCTGGCAGTTATGTTTCCTGAATTTGCTGCATCGTTTATCACAACAGTCATGTTTTTATGTAAATTAAGGATTTAATAAGGACAAGAAATCTTACTTTCTTTAGTAGATGCCACGTCATAGTTCATTTCATAGCAGTCCACACATCCAAAACGTTGTCTCTTATGGTCCATAACAAAGACGTGGTCATTTTAAGGAGCATCCCCGTAGGAAAGTTAAGAGGGAGGGCGGGTTAATGAGGGACAGCCCATGGTATTATTCAGGCTGTAGCAAGTTCTCAAGGCAGCGGCGATAAGGGACTGAAGGGTATCTGCAGATGTGCCTTACATTCACATCCCAGTATGCCAGTCACGCAGCACATTCCCCCTGCAGGGTGGTAGCAGGCTCTGCTGTCCGTCCTCTGTGCGATGCCTCCAGCACTGGAGACTGTCCCAGGAGTCTGTAACAGTACACGGTGTATGGCAGCAGCGGCAGCGTACTCGAGAGGGGAGGAGATGGCCAAGCGCATGTTGGACGTTGCTGAGCCGGCTTATCAATGCCGGGGAGATGAAGAGGAAAAGAGGAGCGCCGGTTGGGGTGGCCTGTGCATGTCTTTCACTCAGGCTTCTCTGTCAGTGCATTAACAAAACAAAAACAACAAACGGGCCACGTGCCGGCAGAGCAAGCCCTAGGTTTGATGCGGGATCTCAGGCAGTACGTTTTGCAGCTATCACAGGAAGCTGGATGTATCTTTGCATACCCCTGTGTAAAGCCAATCTGTGTTGTTTTCAGTAACCTCTTTGGCAACATTCAGGGATAATATTTTCATTCATTTATTCCACATAGGCAGGCAGCTTTATGCCCTGCCTAAAGGCTGCTCTTAGGTTTCACTCATGTGAAACACAGGTATTTGAAGTGTCACTTCTCTGTTACGCTTTTCTCTCACCTTAAATCTGAGGGAGGACCCAAGAAGGGTGAGAGAGGAGCATTCTTTGTGGGGTGATACCTGGCTGTTCAAGGTGTTCAATGTGAAATCCCAGCGTCTGCCAGGATACACATTTCTCAGGTGAATAGTTACTGAGAACAGCCTCAGGTGACGGATGGACTTGTATACCCCCTCCTCAGTCCCATTCAGCCTGATTTTGCAGTGGGTGGGGTAAGGCTGAGCCCTCAGACTTGGATAGGCTCCATTGCGAGCTGCCATTGCTTGTCTGCGCTCCTCCATGCATGTGGAGACAAGCCAGTGGTCCCACAACCTCACAATACCGTTTTGGAGGACTGCAGAGAATAACCTGATTCTTCATGTAATTTCACCAAGCTGAGGCCAAAGACAAGCTGAGAAATACGAATACATCTGAAAAGCATCTTTGATGTTCTCTGCCTCTGAAAAAGAGGAGGCAGGAGGACACACAGGGAAGGGGCTAGAGGTGGCACTGCGTGGTGGAAGCAGCAAACACTTAACGTGTGGTGGGGACATCAGAGTGAGTGAAAGCTACTGACAGTTTCTCAAGAATGGCAAGGCCCGGAGTTCACAAGATTTGGGCAGTGCCCAAGAAATAGAAAGGAGATACTGCAGAGCACAGCAGGCAACAAGCAATTCACAAGGGGAAGAAAGCATCACTTGATATCACATGGTACCCTGAAAAGAGACCGAACTGTAGAAGCATCCCAGTTAGCCTGGCTCACAAGACATTGCTAAAATTTGGTGTGCAGTGTTGAAAAAAATCACATTCCTGTTTCACAAGTGTTTGGAAAACAGGCTGACGTGCATGTGATGCAAGAACCAGCCCCTTCCTCACCTCAGCCAACTGTTGAGGGCTCTCATCCTCTTCCCCACAATCTGATGTGCTTGCAGAGCTGTCTCCTGCACGATGTGCTTTCGTTTTGTGCCTGTGAGAAAGCTGTGTGCAATCAGACACACCGTCCTGGCTGCGGGTGGGCTGTCTGCCACTGGCCCCTCATCGCTGCTCGCCCCTTCCCTCAGCCCACCCCACGCTTTCAGTCTGCCACGTTTCTGCGCTAGCCTTCACCCCAAATGATCCAGGTAGAAAGGGCTCCCCTGCAGAATGGGCATGTGGCTGTGCTGGGGGAGCGGAGGGGGCAGTGAGAAGTGGTGAAGGCAGGTAGCAGGGGGCCCTGGCTGGCTGCAGGCAGGACAACCCTCTTCCCCGGGTCCGACAGCTCCGTTGGCAGTTTGCCTCCTATTTACCTAGCGCTCGCATGCTTCTGTCCGTGCTGCAGATGTGTGCTAGCCCGCAAAGGCACGGGATTCCTTCCATTTGCTGCCAGAGGACTGCAGCTTGGCTCATGTAAGGCGCATTTTTCTGTGCGCACAGGAAGGATTATCGGATGGTAGTAAAATTGTCAGTGTTTAAAGAATTGCTGGCCACATCCTCCACAGGTACAGACCAGCACCTGCAGAAACTGACCCGTTACCCTTCCAGGAAAATGGCAACTCAGCCACATCTAGTGACCTGAAATGTGTTTTGCAGGAGTGCTCAGAAAAGCGGATGCATGGGAGCATGTTCCCTGCTTCTCCATTTGTCTGCTGCTACGATGATGAATACGAGATCAAGAGAAGAGTGAAAAGATTAAAAAGAAAGGTTGCAGGTACAGTATGTTTTGGGAGGTTTCTCCTGCTTTTCAGTTCTTTGACACTTTCTTCTGTCCTTGCTGCTTTCAGAAATATTGTGGGATTATTTTCATATATGTGTTGGGAAGAGCTGCAGGGATTTGAACAGATAGTCCAACGGTAGTAAAAGATTTGTGACTTTATTCATCCGTGTCTATCGCGGAAGTTTTTTGTGTCAAAGCCACTAGGTGGGCATTGTCAGATGTTTTAATTCTGTAAACTGCACTGATATTAAAAATGCTGTGAACTAGCAGGAAGAGGATTAAACTGTAGTTTGTTAAGATTCTAGTCTGTTGACAGAAAAAAAAACACTATGAAAAAATCTATCAGATCTATCAGAGATAGATTTTTTTCCTAACTAACTTTGTACATACATAAGAGAAGCTGTGATGGCTCAGGCACTAAGTTTTAGGTTTTCTGCATGGATATTGAAATAAACTGCTCTGTTTTACAGAACTGCAGGAAGCCGGCCTTCTGCCAGAACAGTCAGAGATGCCATGGCAGGAAGAAGAACATGGGGGGCACAGGCATAAGCAGAAGAGAAAGCCTTGGAAAGAACATGGGAAACATAAAAAAGATGGCAAGTGTCACAAAAAGATGAAGATGTCCCGGGCAGAGAAACCCAGAGAAGAGAGACACAGAAGTGATGCTGAAATGCACCATCATTTCGAGGAGGACTTCCCTAGAGGGTGTAAAAGGCAGGCGTGGAAGGGCAGCAAAATCCGTCACAAGTCCATTTTCCAGGCATTCCCAGGCAGCAAGACTGCATATGCGCAGGAGCCTCTGGAAGGTGCTAAAAAGAAGAAGAAATGGAAAAAGCAGAAGGACGCTAGTCCTGATATCAATGAGAATTTATTCCTCATCAAACAGAGGAGGAAGAAGTCCAAACAGAAGTCCTGGTGATGAGGAAGCAGACAGATGGCACTGACACTTACTGGCTCTGGCACTGCCTTCTGTTTGTTTTTGTCCCTTCCTCAGCGTGCTGCATTTAAGTCCGTCCCTGAACCTGGGCGGGCATGCCCAGGCACCAGTCACACACCGAATATCTGTCTCTGTTCCCAAAACGGAGTGCTCTGTCTGTCACGAGCTGTCCACTGGACAGGCGGGACTTGGTGCTCGTGCCTGCAGTGGCTGTACTGCTCAGCAGTCATTTTATTTTCTTTGCTTGGGGGTAGGTGTTGGGGGGAAAGGGTCCGTGCAGGGTTTGGTGGGTTTTGTTTCTTCACCGGTGAGATGTTGCTCTGCCTGTCGGAGCAGGACCTGCTGCTAGGGAGCACAGCGCCCCTGGAGCTGACACTGGAGGCAGTCTGACGTAAGGAGGAGTGGGGATAGAGACCAGGGACGTGGTTGTAAAGCACATTCCCTGTGGCCAGTCGGTCCTGTCCAGAGGGCAGCTGGGCACTTTTCCACTCCTGTCCCTCCCGGAAGGTGCTGCAAACTTGTCGCCTCTTGGGCTTTGGGACCTGACCGTCTCCTGCCTCACGCTCCAACGTGGTGTTGTGGATCCGTTACCCTCGGTGCCATGGCTTTCGGTGCGAGCCCGTTCCCTGCCTTTGCCAACTAGTCAGCAGGGCAGGAGAAAGCAGCTGAGAATGGGACAGAGTTTACAGCTCGAATTAATCATGTCCTCGTTCCCCTTGGTGTAGAGTTTGTTTCTGGAGAAAAGGTAGCAGAGTATGAAAAGTCATTTTGATTCCAGACAAACTGCACTAAAATCTAATAGTTTTTTTTAAAGACAGGTATTTTTGTACACTGGAGTTAAACAAGTGTGTTTTAAAAGCTTTTTAAGAATAAATGCTTCATCAAAGGAACGACCCAAATAAAACTTTACATGGGGGATATAAAATATGTGGGTTTGTTCTACATTTTCTTGCCTTACCAAGCATAACTGAAAACAGTGTTGTCTTCTCTTTCCTGAGCTGAAACTGTATCACCTCTGGCAAGAGATTTAATGGCTTTGAAAAGGAAACTGTCTATACTGATTCATGACCTACTCTGTACTATACCACTTCATTTGCGAAGCAATTAGTGGTTTTACTAATGAAAAATAAAATAAAAAAGTAACTATAGCACAATTTCGTGAAGGTGCGTGTCCTCTGTTAGTTCTGACTAAGAAACGGGCCTTTGGCTACGGCTGTTTCAAAATTAGAAAGTATTTGTAACCTGTGCTAATGTAAGGGTATCTGAGAAGGGGATATGGGTACAGCAGAAAAAATTTAGGAGTGTCATTCTGCCAGTGGTATTCCCTGCTGGTACTCCCTGAATTCGTCGGCGTTTTGTTTGGCAGGGTCGCCAGTGAGAACACTGGTATTTTAGTGACTGTATCACCTCATCTCAGAGGTGTTTGGAGTGGAGCTTTGCCTACATAATGCTTGGGAACCTAGTACCCAGTTTTGACTAAGTGTGTCCTTTTTGGCAGCTGAAATTTATTTTAGTTTAACTTCATTGATTACTTGATTGAAAAGTTCCTGATGATACTGAAAAAGTAAATCACTTTTAGCCCTAATAAAAAAAAAAAAAAAAAATTAATTCCACTCCTGAAAAGACTTGGCCCTGACGTTGAAGATGGTCTTTTCCCATATGCTGTGTTCTGCATCCCTTTTTGTTTGTCAATGCCTGGTTCTGTTTGAACAAAAGTCTCCCATAGCCTTTAGCTGAACCATCCTGTAGACTGGCAGATGGGGAAGGAGGGTTGTTTTAGACTAAGTATTGAGATCAACCCCAGCTTTACTGATGCATCCGTTTGGTCATCTGGCCAGCTAGGTTGTCACGCGGTGAGTCAGTCTCTTCTGGGAGCTGCACCCTTCTTCAAAATGCTCAGGAGACTGCGTTCGTGCTCTTGTGTCCCCCAAGACTTCCTTGGACAGAAGGGTTACAAGCAGGGGATTCCCAAAGGGAACAGATTCTCCCTCTCCAAGAGATGGGTGGCTCAGGCATCAGGAGTTGTCGCTGTCTGGGGGTACGTAATAAGCCTGTACCTACTGTCCATGGGCAGCGTGCAGGGATGGAGAATGCTGTCTTCATAAATGGTGACTGTGTGACTGCTCTCAGGGGACTGCATCCCAGTAGCTCTTCCACTCCAGGGGTAACTAGAAAGCATGTCAGTACAAAACCTGGGAACGGACAACCTCACCACCTAACCTGTGCTGAGGCAAGGCTTAGGGAATCTCGCCTCCGGGAACTGTTTTCTCCACTATTTTTCAAGCTAATATTCAGTAAGTTTGAGGGGTTCTTAAGGTAAAAATGGCATGGCTCAGTGAAATCGTGGCCTCACCATTCTCTTCTCTGTACAATAGTGTGTTAAGGGCTGGTCCACACTCTGGAGAGTTTTCAGATCCTCCATGCCTCTCATTTACTGAAGAACATCAGGAGCAGGTAGTTTTCTGCTTCACTCCCCCAAAACTGAAGCAGCTGTCTTTTCAACAATGTCCAGGAGGCCAAGGAGGAAACTGTGGACTGCAACAGCATTTAATGAGAGATCACTCTGAGCCATCAGCCTGTGGGTGAGGGGTTTTATGAGGTGTGCCACAAAAGAAATAAGATCGTCGTTCTTGGATGTGAAGGCCAGAGAAGCATTATTCTGATGGCCACTGGGGAAGCACGCTTTGGAGAGGTTTCCCACGGAGACCTCCTCTGTCTCTACCTCTGACTGTCCTCGTTCCACCACTTTCTTCCTCAAAGGAACCTGCAAGGAGATAAAAAGTGCGATTTACTCCTCCTCCAGACGTTATGCAATGGCTTTACGTGATGATGCATTATTTAGCAGCATAACCAATGTGAGAGGCGGCATCGGTAGTGGAAAAACGATACAGGCTGAAATCACTCCGCACAAGAACGTCTGACAGTGGTGTATTGCCGTGCTAGCGAGGCTGCTGTAAGGAGGGCTGACGTACCAGCTCAGGGACAGCGGCACCAGCTTGGGGGCAGCAGCGTAGCCCCTGTGCATAAGAGGTGCAGATGCCTTTACCTTGCCCAAGTCTAATGTCAAGAGGCGGTCAGGTGTGGAGCGAGTCAGGGTTTTCCGAACTCCTCCTCTAAAGGTAAGGTGCCTGGCTGCTGTGGCAGGAGTTGAGCCAGCCAGGATTCTTGAGTTGTTTCTGTGATGCTCAGCGGCTTCAGCCAACAACATTTCACCTTGCACTCATTCTATGGAATTTTTCAAAACCAGTTACGCGCTGGTGAGCAAAAGCCTTCCTTGTCTGGGGAGGCTAATGGTGGAAAGTTTAGGCAAGGTAACTTGTACAAGTGCTTGGGCGAAACCCACAGAAGCCTGGCTGTAGATTGTGGCTTCTGCCTGCGTCTGGCAGTGACTGCAGCAAACACCAGGTGATGGGTTTGTGGTGGAAATGTCTCAGGCTTTCACCTCCCAAGTACTGCAGCCGCCCAGTCCTGGGGGTATCTGACCTGGCTTTTGCTCCAATGGATGTCTGTTGCTTGGGGTGGCAAGACAGTGAGTAAAAGCACAGAGAAAGCCAGGTATCTGGGACCATGGGGAGAGAAAAAGGTAAAACAGCAACACTTGGGAGCCGATGGTGAAGGAACTTCCTGTAGCAACCTTGCAGGTGAAGGCCAGGCTCTGACTGACTGGGGAGCAGTGTTGCAGTGCAGCTCCCAAGCTGAACATGAGGCAGCAAATCTGCAATAAAAGAAACAAGGTACTGCAGCATTATATACAAACAAGCATTAACCACAAGTCCACTTAGGTCATGGCAGGTTAAGACATCAGCTCAAATACTGACCTATGTCAGGTTTTGCGAGGCAAGACAGCAAATCTGCTGTAGAGGGCACAACAGAGAATTCAGAGGAGAAACAGAGGGTCCAGATAATGCAGCTAGCTGACATGAAGGAGGCTAGTTTTTCAAGAGAAGAGCAGCCAGCTAAATAAGGTGCAAAAGAAGACGGGCGTTCTTAATATGGGGGTGAGTAGGACAGCAAAGCACGCCCTTAAAGAACAGCGAGAGAGGTGTAGCTGAGACACTAAGAAAAAAAGATGGTAAAGGTGACAGGGGACAGCAGCAGGTTGTGTGAGGAGGGCATGCAGTCTGGCTGGCAGGTTTCAGGGAAGAGTTGAACAAACAGCCCCTGGAGAGGAGAGGTGGTTGAGCGAGCCAACGCCTGGACGGACTGGTGAGGTCCCTGTCTTCAGTGGTCTCTCAGCAGCCTGGTCCTGCCCTCCCTTCGGTGTAAGCAGTGGTGCCCTGAGCTGATGTTAGGCAGAGGGTGGTCAACCAAGCCCGTGGCCAGGCACTGCTGGAATGGAAAGCAGGAGAACCAAGACTCTTGCATCCCACTGGCTGTGTGGGACTGCCCCGTCTTCAGGAATTGCTCCCCAGTCCGCGGTAGTGCTCAGGTGCCTGAAACTCAGTGCCCCACATCTCGCAGCCCGCATACTCCACTCCAGCTTCAAAACCTTCCCCCAGACCAGTTGCTGGAGCCTTCTTGGACCTGGGAGCAACAAGGTGCAGCGAGACAACAAGGCTCTGTCTCTTGCCAGCCAGCAGGGCTGTGGCAGGGCCTTTGCCTGCAGGCATGTTTCCAGCCCCAGAGATGGAGTCCCATGGAGTACGTCCAGTCAGTGAACCTTCTCACCTTCCCAAATCATTAAACTCCACATGGACCAGCCAGAATGCCATCTCCGCTTACCTGCTGGAGAAGCACAACCAAGTGTCTGCTCTGTGTGCCCGTGTGCTGGGCTCTGCTCCCAGGTCTCTTTCTTTGGCTGCTTGAAACTAAAAGACTTGCACCAGCAGGCTGTCACTGTTAGTCAGTGCCTCCCAGCACTACCAGTAAGGTTCTGTCTAGCAGCTGGTGAATTTTACAGAACTTAGTGCAAAAAAAAAACAGTTGAAGATGTTTTTGCATTGGATGAGAAGGACAGGATAAGGAACATGGCAGAAAGGAGT